GGAATCAATCCAGTGTGACTTCTTATGTGAAGTGTTAAACATCTATTTGAAGCAAATTTCTTTTTGCAGTAAGAGCATTCAAAAGGTTTCTCTCCAGTATGAGTCCGTAAATGAATTATCATTTGATGCTTCCGGGAAAATTTCTTTTTGCAGTAAGAACATTCAAAAGGCTTCTCTCCAGTATGAGTCCGTGAATGATCTATCATATGATGTTTCTGGTTAAATTTCTTTTTACAGTAAGAGCATTCAAAAGGTTTTTCTTCAGTGTGAATCTGTGAATGAATTATCAAATTCTGTTTCTGGTTAAATTTCTTTTTGCAGTAAGAACATTCAAAAGGCTTCTCTCCAGTATGAGTCCGTGAATGATCTATCATATGATGTTTGCGGGTAAATTTCTTTTTGCAGTAAGAACATTCAAAAGGTTTCTCTCCAGTATGAGTCCGTGAATGAATTATCATTTCCTGTTTGCGGGTAAATTTCTTTTTGCAGTAAGAGCATTCAAAAGGTTTCTCTCCAGTATGAGTTCTCAGGTGGCATATTAAATTCCACTTTGAAGCAAATTTCTTTCTGCAGTATGAACACTCTCTGGCACTTGTTACTAGATGACAATTAACGTCTCTAATTCTGTCTTCTCTCTTTCCATCATGCAATCCATTATCTAGGCCTAGCTTCTCATGTGTCACTAGATGACGCCTCAACCTTGCCAAAGATGCAAATTCTTTTTTACAATGAGAGCATTCAAACTTCTCGCTATGTATTCTTAGATGCCGGTTAAAAGTTTTCTCCCCTTTGAATTTCTTTTTGCAGTGAGAACATTCAAAGGGCTTCCTGTGTTTTTTGACGTGACAGTCAAGCTTAGTCTTTGAAGGAAATTTCTTTTCACAATGAGAACACTTAAATGGATCCTTGTGTGTCCTTAGATGACGGTCAAACGTTTTTTTTATTGCAAATTTCTTTTGACAGACAGAGCATTCAAATAACTTCTTGTGTGTTCTTAGATGATAATCAAGCTTGGTTTTTGTTGCAAATTTCTTCGTGCATTGAGAACATTTTAATGGCTTCCTTGCAATGCGTTTTGTCGCATTAAACTCCTCCCGGATGTCGTTTGCGCTCTCAGTGTGCAGTTCGTCTTCTAGATCTGTCTGAATGTCTAAGTCATCTCCATGAACATATAAAACAACTGGTTCTTCAAAGGTTAGTTCTTCTGTCTTGTTGACCCCAATAGTTCTGTCAATGTTCATGTGATTAGAACCATCATCATTGACTTCTTGACTGGTTACTGGCTGTTGACCAATCATGGAACACTTCTCTCCTTGTTCACTCTGAAATTATACATGATATCCAAAGAAAGAAATGAAAAAAGTGAATTTCATATGGTAAGTATTACAACTGTTGAAAATAACCTAAATAATTTCTGCATGTATATATATGATATCAAAGAGGCAAGATTTTGCTGTAACTCCAAGTTTCGTGCTACACACTCATCAGACAGTATTTAATGATAAACATTCC